TGTTGAAGCTAGCAGACCAAATCAGACTGCAAATGAACTCCCTTTAGCCTGCCACAGTGCACCTTCCCATTCTGTTCTGGGCTGTTGTGGGATTGTAGAAAGAGACACGGCTGCCTCTCATCCTGTTAATATCAAAAGCTACCACATCACCTTTTAAAACTGCAGTCCTACAAGGAATACCCCTTGGACTGCTAGTACTCATGTGGATGAATTAACAACAGAACATTCTCATGTCTGTAGAGCTAACCAAGAAAGCGTGGCTCTGCTTCCATCTCTAACTTGCCTTACTGGGCTGGCACAAGGTTGTGGTTAGTCTGCAACTCCAGTGCAGAAGAACAAGACCCTTTCACTACCCCAGTAGTGGGCAGCTGAAGCTTGACAGAACAGAAGGCCTTCATGCATCTCATTTCAGGCCCACCAAAGACTGGCTTGCAGAAAAAGTATTTTGTAGCATGGTCAAAACTATTTTAAGTATGCCAAATGGGACACTTTGGAACATGTGTACACTCCACACTCTTCACTTACTGTACACGTGAAAAGGCATTTGAAGGAAGCACATTCTCTAAGCAGTGGTATGACAAACATCTAACACCTTGCTTGTTTCTCCCCACTCACAGTTTATAAGCAGAGTACAAGCTGAGAGGCAGGGAAATACAACTGGATTGTTTTGCAGATACAGATAACAAAGATGGATACTCCATAGGTGTTTACTTCTTGAAAGACACAGTAAAAAAAGCCCCAAACCAAAATAACCCTGTTCCTAGAAACAAATGCATTGCAGATATCACACATATTTCACACTTAAGATAGATTGAAAATTGACAAAATTTGTACTTCATTTGCTTGCACTGAAAAACTGCTCTTCCTTGTTTCTTCCTAACGCACTGCAGCAAGCAGAACACTTTAGTCAAATATGTGACAAGGCAGTTGACAGAGCTTTCTCTAAGGGAAAATCAAAGATTCTGGAATTTGTTCACACAACCTTAATATAAGATATTCAAAACAATTACTTTTTTGGCTGGCCACAGGAGAGATCAGTTTGACAGCATTATGGAAAACGCTGAGCATGAACTCCCTGGCTGGCAGGTAACAAGCTATCCCCTTCATAGGAAAGGGATTTTAACTATGCCAGGGTTTAAATTATATTTCTAGAAATATGATAAAAATGAAGCAAAGGCTACAGGCACCTTTATTTTAAAGTCTAAAGTAATTTCAGTTCCCTTGATTTAAAGTTACAAAATTAAAATAGTGCCCGAAATACTGTAGTGAAACGAAGCACACATGTACTACCATAAAGAAATAATACTGTACAGTATATTTCTATTTTGCCAATAAAAATTATGCAGCATTATTAACATATTCTAAACTGATCTCGACATAATTGCATCTGGAAGCATCATAATCTCACTGATAAATCATACTTGAGTGGATAAATGAGGCTTCTCCCTTCCAGGCTCAATAAAGATTTAAGAAAAGGAGGTACTTTCCACATTATTTAGTCAGTATGGACACTTGCCCCTTTTCAAAACTACAAATTACTGAAAAGATCCTTCAACTTTTTTCCACCCTTTATTTTGTCTGGCTATGCTTTTTTTATTAAAAGAAAGGATGACCTAGAAAAGTTTAATCTCCTTCCTAAAGTACATATGACTAAATCAGCTAGCTATGCAAAAACAATAAACATACTCACAATGACTAGCAAAGAAGTGATATATTATCTTCAGATACCAGTAAGAAACAGAATCCTTCACATTAATTTGATACAGCTTCCAAAGTCAGCTAAAGGTCAGATTCACTTAAGATTTTTTCTTCGGAGAAATTATGCAAGGCGTTTTTCCTTACAAAAGCTCTGTAGTTTTACTTGTCACAATAAATTCAAGCTATTCTGTATTCAATTGCTCAGCCCCTTTAAAACTCATATTGAAGTCCGCCTTCCTAAAGCAGTCAGAATGAGGAAAGACTGCATAAACACAGACCTGACTTTCCAAAGAGCAGACAAGCCTTGTAATGAAATGTACTACCTGTGGTGAAAGGTAAGAACAAAAAAATACACGGCAAATAATTGGGGAAAATTAGACTTGCATTACTCATGTTTCTAAATTAATATTTTTCAAATGTTTCTATTCTTATTTACCAAGCTAGGATTTCTTTGCATAAGTTTTACTCATTCCATGATTTTCTTAATTTTTCTTCACTTTAACATATACTTAGAAACATATTAAGAAACTTGAACCTTCCTGAGATTCCATCTTTTTTTTGATTATCAGGTAATTTGTTTACAATTAACCCAAAGCAATCACTTATAGTGATATATTCTTTATGACTAAGCCAAAGTCTTCTGGCTTTTCTCTCCTCCTTTATCAAGTGCTTGGAGGTAAGAGATGTTTACTAGTATGAACTACACTTTTCTAACTGCCTACCCCTTCTTGAGGGAATTACTAATTAAGGAGACACTTTGTAAACATTGTACACCATAGCATGGAGACAGTATCCACATAATGAACTGCAGAAGAATATGGTAAATCCCTCCTTTATTCACCAGCTGAGCCTTTCGGGGACACATGACTTCAACAGCCTTGCAAGTCAGCCACAGAAGTATTTTCTCCTGTTGCTAATAAGTTATACTTTTGAGACTAAATCAGCCATTATTTAGATGTGAGACATGGGTGGATTTTTTGCACTAGAGAACTCATGACTTTACATTTCTATGTGCAGCCTTACAATGTAAAGGCTTCAGGTCCACTGCAGTGACCCAGAGACTCAGCAAGACATTTCAGCATAGATAATATTTCACTACTTCTCAATCTCTTGAGCCATCACTGTGCAGTCCACTGTATACAACTCACAGCCTTTCCCTTATGGGCAGCTGGAGGAGGCAATGGAGGCCAGTACAGAATCACAGGATGCCTGCACACAGGCTCCAACTGCCTGTAGCTGGCTGCCACAGCTTCCTTTGACTTTCGAAGTGTTGTGAGCGACAACAGGAGACTGCACACTGTTCTGCACTTGAGGATATCCAGGTGAGATGTGACACGCAGGCCAATGAAGCAGAAGGGCCCTTGGATACATGCACTGCACATTTCTTTTTAGCCCCTCCACTGTGTTCCACTCCACATATCTTACTGGCACTATATTATCATTTCTAGGTCCCTTCCAACTCAACTATTCTATTAACACTCAAATCAGCTACATAAGCCACCCCAAACCAGTACCAAACATATACCTCCAGCAAGTCAAGAAGATAGATTCAATACATTAAAAATACATTCGAGCAGAACACTCAGAAAACTTGAAATAATCCTGTGCTTATTGTTGACATTATAATTTGTTTCACAAAAGCCTTCAACTACACCCATGATTTTTGAAAACACATTGCTTTGCATTTCCCAGTCTGAAGGGTCAAGTCCAAATCAGATTATCTGCATGTGGTGCTTGAACTACTGGGTAGAACACTAGTAGACAGATGTCTTAATGCTGATCAGTAAACTGACTTTAAACCAGTTTGCAGAAGGTAGCAGGAGCCACTTCTTGCTTGTAGAATCAAACTTGGGTATCCACACCTCTGTCTTTTGTCCTCTGAATGTTACAATTCTCAAACAAGCACTTTCTATATGCCTATAAGCTTCTTAAAATACTGCCTGCCTCTTGAAATACCACCTCATTTTCCCTGTTTCTGTAGGCTCTGGTAAAAGGCTCAGCCTCAAGTGCTTTCAGGCAGTCTTATTCAAAGAACGGCAAAATCACAAAGAAATTCATACAGCAACAGAGAGACCACGTGCATTTCCCAGGACACCAAACATATACACAAAAGCATTACAGAGGGAAAAACTTACACTCTGGTACAGCAGCTATAGCACTGCACCAGAAATCCTGCAGCACATAGTATTGTGGTGATGAGCATGGAGCTGAATACACAGGTCTTGGCTCCCCAGGGTAAAGATCACCTTCATAACAGCACATATTCAGGGAGCTATATATGTCCACTGACTGCCAGCAAGGAAAATCAAGGCAAGGGCTGGTTGGTACAAGGTGTTCCACTGGATTCAGCTTGAAGCATAGCACTTGCTTCCATACAACCCTGAGGCCAGCATGCTCCTCCTGAGCTAGAAAAACCTGAACACAGATGGGACTCTCACTGCTCAGGCACAACAATGTTTCCTGAATCCAGCAGTGTATCCCCATAGCCTGGTAAAGTATCACCTGTATGAGAGGACTGTTAACTTTTCACTCTGAACTCATACACAAACCAAATGCAGATTACTCTGAAGAGAAAACCTACCTCATGATTAAACTATCCCATTAGCTAAGGCATATCATATTTTTTAAACATCCCATAACTGTAAGATATGGGATGGGTTCTTAAACACTTGGTATATGTGTGTCTGGTCAAAATTACCAGTCTATATTAGTGTCCTGTTTTGTGGCATTAATAGCATATTTTTGGTTTAAAAGTAACACACAAGAAAATGTTTAATTAACTGAAATCCAGCCTAGAAAAACAACCCAATCTCCCAGCATTTTATTTTAATGGCATTTGAAAATACCAAAATGAGTGAAGCACAAAGGATAATGTGAATCAACATTTTAAGTACTATTGACAAATATATCAGATGCACAGAACTAAGGCCCTATTGCCAAGTGGGAATAGCAACTGGATAAAAATTAACTTACAAACAAAAACATAGAATTTATTGCCTTGTCTTTGGCACCAAAATACCGTTTAAGGGTATTACCCTTATGATTCACACCAGACTAGTAAAATTATGTTGGCTTTCAATCACGTAACCCAGCAGAGCTCTGTCAACAACTTCTTATATGCCTCTTTTTTTTTTCAAAGCCTGAAGACATGCCAAAACTAATCTTGTTTTGCTCTTGTAATTTATTTTTCTAGAAATAAATCTCAGCAAGACCACAACATACTTTACAGAGTTGGGTGTGATTTCCCTTTTTTAGATATGCACATTATACACGGACAAATACTACCTTAAAGCATTACTTACAGATTGCCAAGCAAGAGACTCCATAATTCGATGCTCACAGCGTTCTAGATGCTTTATCATTTCCCTTGTTAGGCTTGGCTCTGCTTTAATAAAGCTTTCAATCACCTTGTAGAAGTCAAAAGCTTTTAAATCAAAGACATTGAGAATCCATGGGAAAGACAAGTCTGTTTCAGCACTGGTACCATCACTTTGTGAAGCATTTCCTGCAGGGAAGATGGACTAAATTATTATCAAGAGTACTACATCCTTGCAATTCTACATTTTCTCCTTTTTATATTTATTGAACTACTGCTTGTTCAGAAGTTTCTGTGACAGCGCTTTTTTTTTTTTTCCTATTTACTATATTTTGTGTATTAGAACAAATGACAATAATTACCAATAAATAACAATGCTATTCAGCACTTTAGATTCAACTTACTGCCATATGTAGCCATGACAACCTCAACAGCACATGCCAGAAGAGATGTGTGGAAGATGTTATCATTCAGAAGTTTGCTAAGGAAGAAGAAAGTTATTAATACTTGTCCCAACACTAAATTAGCAGACTTTAATAACAAGTTAGGGGCACATACCTGAAATTCTGCACAGAGAGGCGCTCTTCCTCCTGAAATGTATAAATCAAAAACAAATTTGTGAATGTTCTTAGTATTTATAAATGCAATGCCAGTACTAAGCTACCAGTACTAAACTTACCGACTTCAACATGGATTCCATTACTCTGTAATATAGCCGTACTCCAAGCTTATATCTCTGTCAAAAAAATAAATTCAAAATATTACAAGTTTTAACAGATTACAACAGGCAGACTCTCATGTTTTAATGATTCAGGACATTCTGGTTTTTGGAAAAGCCACAGTAAAGTCATCATTGTCCCCAGCTCCATTTGCCAACAGTACTGGAGAGGCCTCAAAAGCTACTATGGTTTGTGCCTACTGCAACCACATGAAGACTGATTAATCAAGTTTATGTTCATTCACAGCTAACAGGATAAAAAACCAGAAGACTGTTGACAGACAGAAGACTGTTGAGTACAAACTTGGTTAGATTTGCTTTCCAAAATCCTTGTAGAAAGCACAGCTGGCCTACTGATTTTATAAGGAAGTGAGTCACCTTGTGCCATTTTAGGCAGTTGCCTTAATGAATGCAAATTTATGTTTCACTAAATGTATTTTGCCCAGCAATTTTCCTATTCTTTGTGAAAGTATTTCCAGCATATTTCCACCAAGTTCCTATTGCTCCTTATATATTATGAATAATTTGTTCAATTCTATCTTTATAGAGCTTTACAAAAAAAATACATGTCCATTCCTCACACTGAAAATATTGTTACTCTTTACCATTACTGATCTGCACTGAAGGACAGTCAATGTCAAGTCTCATGTTAGTTAGTACCAACAGAGTTCAAATAAGTAATACTCAACCAAAATGTTAGTTACCTGTGAGCCAATTTCAGCACATCCCTGTCCAACTGCTTCCGCAAATTTATTTTTGAAGATGTGACCAAGACTTTCCACTCTTTTCAGGATACTATTCTTAGGGTTCACTGTGCAATTCTAATAAAATACAGAAAGGAGGGCAAGAGAAGGAAAGTACATTTTACTTCAAAAACATTTTAATGATTTAAACACAGTAACCCTGCTTCACTTCGAAACATCTCTCAATCAGCTCATTAGCATAAACAGAAATGGAGTATTTAAATACAGAACCGTTGTATATGTTCAACAATTTCCACTAACTAGAACTTCATGTCTCACATGCAACTAGCTGCAACTAACCCAACTAATATGCAAATAGCACCATCAATGTTAATCATATTTCTAACTTTAAAGACATTAAGTTGCTCAGTGTGGACACAGGAGATCCTCTGTGCATATATCCTCCTTCTCTTCTTTTGTCTTCCTTTTTTATCTCCCTTTTTATGTCTTTTATATCTCTATCCCTTTTATATCTCTATTTTTTCCATCTTATACATGCATAAATAAACCTTAATATTTAACATTAATATTTCATATTTAGTGTAGTAACAAAGATTTAAGAAGTTATATAAGGTTCCAGTACACATCAGTTAGATAGAAGTGTTTTCTGAAATGATTCATTAAAGTGTCCCAATTAAAATGTACTTCTTCAAAAATGGTTGTTCATAAAGGAGTTCCCAAACCATGTGCGTCAGATCTCTAGGTGTACATTTCACTTGAGCGAAACTATCACAACCTTTCAAAAAGCTTCCTTCCAGCCACTTACATTAAAATATATGATGAGAGTATCTGATGGTTTATCAGTTGCTGAGTTTAAAATCATAATCAATTGCTGAATGTTATTCATTGCAGCTCTGGAAAAAAACAATAGATCGCATAATAAACATTAAGGCTGGCTTGACAGTTTCCAGAAACTGAACAATTCTACAAGCAAACAAAGAAATTATTACTTTAGTTCTTAACTCAGTTATCAACCTGCCGGGAAAAAGTGTTATACTGTGTCAACCATTTTGAGTTTTAATAACCTAATTCATCTAATCTTCTAATTATCAGAATGATTACAATCCATAAGTAAACAACCAAAAGAACGTAAATGACGTAACAAACACAATAACTTTTAAAAGCAATAAAATGGTGGAATTGCAATCCTTGTATGTGAAAATATTGAGTCAAATTAAGCAACTCCCTAACAAAAAAAACCCACTTTGGCTTTTGTACAAAAATAATACAAGAGACTGGCAAATGAAGATGGCTTTTATATTTTAAGTCACCTGTTCACAACTGTAGTAAGAAAGATGCATTAAAATACATCAGTCACAAGAAAAACACAGCCTTTTTAACGCAGACACTTTGAAAATCCCACATTTTTCATAGGCAGAGCTGTCAACATTCCTACTGGCAACGCATGAGAATACAGAATCTTCTCCCTCCCTGGATCTTACCCGAAAGTCACATTAAAACTTAAATTCTTACTTTAACTCCAGTTCCTTATATTTCCAATATAAAAACTACAATTCTGTAACCCTTATTCTACCTGCTGTATCCATAGCTAGGTTAGATGATCTCAAATATAAAATCTTCTTAACTTTTAAAGTATCATGGGTGGGAAAAAGGATGTGGACATTAAAGAATTTTTTCAGTGTTTCCAAGAAATACAAACCCAATCTTCTTAAGAAGCAGAACAAAAATTCTTTATTGTCTAGACAAAAATTAGATAAAAAATATAAATAACATTTTATTAACTTGGGACCAGTAATATTTAATATCTTCAACAATTACACAGATAGCAGGATCAAGTGCACCCTCAGCAAGTTTGCAGATGACTCCAAGCTGAGTGGTGTGGTTGACACACCTGAGGGATGGGATGTCATCCAGAGGGACCTGGACAAGCTCAAGAAGTGGGTCTATGTGAACCTCATGAGGCTCAACAAGGCCAAGTGCAAGGTCCTGCACCTGAATCAGGGCAACCCCTGGGAAAACTTGGGGCACCGGTGGACGAAAAGTTGGACAAGAACCAGCAATGTACACTTGCAGCCCAGAAAGGCAACCTTAACCTGAGCTGCATCAACAGAAGTGTGGCCAGCAGGTGGAGGGAGGTGATTCTGCCCCTCTACTCAGCTCTAGTGAGACCCCATCCAGGGTACTGTGTCCAGCTCTGGGGCCTTCGGCACAGTAAAGACAAGGACTGCTTGAGCAGATCCAGAGGAGGGACACAAAAATGATCAGAAGGCTGGAGCACCTCTCCCATGAGGACATGCTGAGAAAGTTGGGGCTGTTCAGCATGGAGAGGAGAAGGCTCCAGGGAGAGCTTTTTGCAGCATTTCAGTACTTAAAGGGGGTTTGTAAGAAAGACAAGGACAGACTTTTTAGCTGGATCTACTGAAACAGGACAAGGCGTAATGATTTTAAACTAAAAGAGGGTAGATTTAGACTAGGTATAAGCAAGAAATTTTTTTACAATGAGGATGGTGAAACACTGGCACAGGTTGCCCAGAGAGGTGGGAGATGCACAATCCCTGGAAACATTCAAGGTCAGGTTGGACAGGGCTCTGAGCAACCTGATCTAGTTGATGTCCCTGCTCATGGCAGAGGGATGAACTAGATAACCTTTAAAGGTCCCTTCCAAGCCAAAGTGATTCTATGAACTTGGATATACTGAAGTATGCCTCCATGTATGATCTTGTTCACATTATTTTACATATACAAAGAAAAAACAAAAACCACTACCATCAAAACTACTTGTATCTCTACTTAATACCCACAATATTCTTGCTAAAACCAGACTCAAAACCACAATATGCACTGATTCATATCCGATGTCTTCACACTAAAGCTAACAGAAATAACAGTACTTCAGAAAAACTGTAATAATTTAACAAATTACAAATATTCTTAAAGCAAGTGCATAGGATCCTGTTTATTCCAAAGTTAAATGCCTTGTTAGGGTGAGTGCATATCTCCCTGAAGAAAGCATTTTTCAGTTTTTCTAGAACTGAAATCCTGATGACAAACATTTTTCATGACTTTCAGAAAGATTTTAAGATAAGATTTTAAGATAACATAACATGGCCTCTTCTCAAATAGCATATATTATCCAGGAAGTGACCAAAATATCTACAGTTGGAAAAATGAGAACATTAATGATCTTGTCATGCAGGACAAGAAGATATGTGCATTATCAAGCATCTGAACAGCCCACATTTTCATGTATTGTTCTGCCTTTATTATTTGCATGTTCATATAGAACTAATAATATATCCAGTAAGGTCATAAGTACTAACGTAGCCTGGCTTTTTTTAAACATATTTCAAGTAGTGTATGAAGCAATAGCATTAAGTTTCTAATCTTGTAGAAAGGTTGGAGTATTAATTTCTCTCCTAACATATAAGGAAGTTTGATTCTTCCAGTGGTATTGTTACCTTCTGATTTTTTTTTAATTGTGATTTTTGGTGGGGGGGTTTTGTTTGCTTTAAATTTCTGTGCTATTTAACCTCAGTTTGGCTCATATCACTCATAAGTGTAGAAAGAAGAAAAGTATGTTCAATCATTACAACTGTAGTAGTGCAAAGATGCATTTTTCTTTAATCTACTTTTTAGAAGGTTTTGGCAAAATCACTTCTACCAAAACTCTACTAGTGACAAGAAAAAGCATACAGACAGAGGAAAAAACTAAAATGAGAACACATGATTCAGTCTCATTACGCTCTGAACTAGTACTTACACACATTTTATCTACTGCTTTCTATATCAGTGACCAGATACAAATCCTCTGATGAAAATTATCAGATTCTCACCAATTTCGGGGGGCTTTAGAGCAGATCCTAAGTGTCTAGGTCCAGAAGCCATTATAAGAAGATTCTAAGTCGTGAGTACGGTGCTTTCAAAATAACTTGTAAGGGGTTCTACTTAATGCAGGGAGAATTCAATAATACACTTTCCACTCTGTGTTGGTGGTCAAAGGCTTACTGCCATCTAGCGACAGTTCTGTGGCTTTATGGAAAACAAGTTCCTACAGCCCAAATCATGGCTGGTGAATGAGCCTTCACTTGAACTGTTTTAAATGGCATCAGTTTTGGAAAATTCAGAGAAAAGCCCAAGTGTGGATGGAAAGAATCTATATATCTCATTAGACATCCTCTGAAGATCAGAGTTGGTTTAGCACATTTCAAATTTTTAGCAGTGTGGAAACTTGGTGGTCCTGGACTTTCCAAATAAGACTTGTATGTCAAGACCTTTAATGAAGCATCTTCTACAGTGTTAGAGAGCTTTTTTAAATGCTAGTATAACTGAAAAATGTCAATAACAATATATTTGTCAAAAATAGGATTTGCTGTCAATGACCTCCTTGTTAAATACACTGCTTGTTACAGATGGTCCAGTTCCTGGTATCATACATTCAGTCTGGGAACCAAAAGGCAAACTGATGACTTTATGGCTCAAAAAGCATCACTGACATTTACAGATTTGAAGCATAAACCTAAAAGGGACTACTAATGCAATCCAGTAAAACCTTTTGCAGTCACAGGTGACTGGAAATTCTTTCATATACTGACCAATAGTTCTCAGCTGCATGTCTCCTTTTATTACTTTTATGAAGCAGCTTTTCAGAACCTTACTGCTCTGTTGGCTAGAAAACAATTAGTTTCTGCAGATGGCTTTCAGGAGATTTATAGTGGATGCAGAAGCCCAGAGTCTAATTCATTCTTCCACAAGCATATAAACACCGTAGAAGATTTTTATTTTTGTTTTTATTAATTTTACTCATTTGAGAAAACTGAATAATTAAGGGTACAATATTTTAACTTCTCTGATCTCTACAGCATACTAAAATGAAAGGCATTTATATAGCAAGCATGGAACAAGAACTTCACTGTCCCATTTTATTAAACCTGACACCTTAAGAATGACTGCCTGCACAAAGACTTGTCTGTCCACACAGCACATGGCATTGCAGTGACACAGCTGATTGGTTCTTGAGTGTCCAGGAATTTCTAAGGGCCATCAGGCAAAAACATAATGATTTTGTCAAAAAATGATGTGGCACAAGGGAAAAATGGTATATGCAAATCCTTTCCTTTGGTTATGAATTCAAAGTTCACAGTTTTTCTGCATTTGATTGTAGATTAAACAATCTCCCATACCACATTTCTACCATATCTGTCCATCTTCCCAACAGGTCAAAATATGTTGGCACTCTGAAATGTTCATCTTCCCAATACAGGGAAAAAAACCAAAACCGTTGTTACTCTGAAATGTTAATCATCTCATACAGAAAAAAAAAAATACTAAGAAAAAAATTATCATGGGAGAAGTAGTGCATGTGCATATACCAGGAAAGGAAGGCAGAAGATACAGAGCTAAAATTGGAAAGGAAGACCGAAGTATAGAAAACAAAAGTACTATGGAAGTATAAAGTTACATTCTCGCAAGAAGTAATACAGTAATCCATTTTACAGATGTCCTGCACTGCGCTTAAGACAACTCAGTAAAAAGCTTTTTCTGTTTTCCAACAACCTCACCAGAAATTGAGGGCACTCAGCACTCCTCAGTAGATGCTCACTGTAGTGGCTAGAACTACAACCTGGTTTTTGAAAAACAAAACAGTTGCTTTAAAATTAAAACAGCTGCTCTAAAGATTAATATTTCCAGTTAGGATATTAAACAAAAGAACATAACTTAAAAGAAAACTCATACCGAACAGGAGTCTGCGGAAGTATAAGGTTGTGTTCCTCATCTGGATTGGTTTTTAGTGGTGTTGTCTCCAACTGTGACCTACAGAAATTGGAACACAAACTTATGAAGTACTGATATAATTAAAAATAATGTTTTTTATAAAGACTGCAGATCTGCAGAAAAAAATCCTGTGGAACACTTTTTTTGAAGATCTAGACATCCAACTACTCCAGTTGTTAGAACAATGCAATTTAAATTCCCAGGTAGATCTACTTTGAGCAGGATGTTGGAGTAGATGACCTCCAAAGTTCCTTTCCAAATTCAATTCTTTTCTAGAATTCTATTTATAGCAACTTAATTTATAAATACAGCTGGTATTAGCTCCATTTTAATCAAATTTTAAACGTGTATTTTTCTGGCATAGATAACAGACTCACATCATGATCTCACATTAGAGTTATGGAAATGTTGAATTGCCAGGAACTGTTGAAATTTTAGAGTATGACTAAAAGAATTCAAATGCATCTGCATTACTGAACAGCACCAGTGAACATGCCTGGGCACTGAGATTCAACCATTTATTCTGCTAAACCATCTGTGGTGCATTTCTGTCCCATGCAATCTACTATTCCCCAATTTGTGGGTACAGGTCAGAAGTCAGAAGAGCCTGAAGATCATTCCCAGCAGACAGCTTTCCAAATGGCCCCAGCTGGTTTTAGGAAGCTGGACAGCAAGAACCCAAGCCATTCTATGCCAGCTGACCCCAGAGCCTGAGGCACATCTAATCAACAAGCATGACATGGCCTTGGTCACCTTCTTAAGATTCCTCAGCTTCTCCTGGAAAACAGGGGCTTGCACAGAGCAAGAACTAGAGCAGAGGTTCCAAATCATTTTAGGTAGAGTCACAGTCTGATTTAGGCTATAACATATTATTTAGGCTATAACATAAAGCAAGGCTGGGGTTGCCAGAAATATCTTAGCTGAGCTGCAAACGTAGGAGACCAACAGGATACAGAGATCTCCATTTAGAACACACAGCAAGAGGACAAAGGGAGAAATCAACACAAGTTCACATTTTCTATTATAAAATTAAAGCAGTAAATGGAAACATTACCGTGCTATAACATCAGGCTGTAGAGTTTCATCATGATCCAGAAATAATCTTGCGTCTATATCTTTGTTGTTGAGATACAGCTCATCATACTGTTTCGAGAGAACCTCAACCTCAAAAAACATTGAAAAAAACTTTATAGAAACAAGTTTGTCAATTTACTGAATAAAATAAGCCAGTCCTATCTCATGAACACAACGCTGAAATGCTAAGAGAATGACCTTGGAGCTCACAGTCACTTCTTACACAAATAGCTGAAACATACCCAGAGGAAAATTATTGTTCTCAAGCACAAAGATAATCTTTTAGAAAAGAAAAGAATCCAAGATCATGAGACTTTTTTGAAGAAATGTAGGTCTTGACACTGTAAAAGAGCTAAAAATAGCTACAGTGGAAGACATTAACCTGAAAATCAAACTAACATTTCCAGGCTTTTTAAATCTTTCCTTCCAGAAGAAAAAAGTGTCTCTAAGAACAGGAAATGTGGCATGAGTGTCCTTAGAACAGCTGTCAAACAATCCACTAGGTGCCCGTCTCTGCTGGGTTGAAGATGAAGGCCAAGACCCAAACTCAAACCCTCTTGTTCCGAGTGTAAGGAGTTTCCCCGTTCCGTATTAATATTTGTAGTGGTGTCATTTTTAAGAGACATGCCTATTTCTACAAAAACACAGACTGTTATTTCATATCCACTTTGTTGTTTCTTAAACTACTGCTAAAAGTTTTTTAGTGATTAGATCCCATATTGATATGACTTCATTTTGCATGGAAGTTTGTTGCTTTTTTTGTTGTTTGGTATTTTTTTTAAATTTTAAGTGACTAACTGGAAGCCTGGAATTCTTCTATCAGGGCCAGATACTAGCCTCAACTTTTGTTGCTGTGCTTCTACAGAAGTAGGCAAGCAGAATCACAGAACCACAGAAACATCTAGGTTGGAAAGGATCTTGAAGATCATCTAAGTCCAACTGTTAACCTAGCACTGACAGTTCCCAACTACACCATATACCTCAGCATTGTCGACTGAACACCTCCAGGGATGGGGACTCCACCACCTCCCTGGGCAGCACATTCCAACGCCCAACAACCCGTTCTCTAAATAAATGCTTCCTGATATCCAGTCTAAACCTTCCCTGGCACAACTTGAGACATTCCCTGTTGTCCTATTGCTTATTACTTGGTTAAAGAGACTCATCCCCAGCTCTCTGAAACCTCCTTTCAGGGAGCTGTAGAGGGCGATGAGGTCTCCCCTCAGCCTCCTCTCCTCCAGACTAAACCCCCCCAGTTCCCTCAGCCGCTCCCCGTATGACCTGTGCTCCAGACCCTGCACCAGCTCCGTTGCCCTTCTCTGGACACGCTCGAGTCCTTCAATGTCCTTTTTGTAGTGAGGGGCCCAAAACTGAACACAGGAATCAAGGGGCACCCTCACCAGTGCCAAGGACAGGGGTAAGATCCCTTCCCTGTCCCTGCTGGCCACGCTATTGCTGACACAAGCCAGGATGCCATTGGCCTTCTTGGCCCCCTGGGCACACTGCTGGCTCCTGTTCAGCCGGCTGTCAATCAACACCCCAGGTCCCTCTCTGACTGGCAGCTCTCCAGCCACTCCTCCCCAAGCCTGAAGCGCTGCTGGGGGTTGTTGTGGCCTAAGGGCAGCCCCCAGCATTTGGCCTTATGGAAACTCCTCCAGTTGGGCTCAGCCCATGGCTCCAGCCTATCCAAAGCACATCAATTCCCTGAGCCCTTAAATATACTAAATGATGCTGTGCTCTAGCAAACTCCTGCTATAAAACCAGACAACAGTGCATACGAAACCAAATTAGTCCCTTCTCAGTCCCAAGAAAAAGCAACCTGCAAATACCTCCAACACAGCTTTGCTCCTCATCCTCCTCTTCTACCTTTGCCAAATTAATTTGTTCCAAACTGATCTCATGTTTAAAACTCTGAGGTTAGTACTATTAAATCAAAGATCACCTTTAGATTCCTACTATTGCTTTATTTGTTTCATTTTTAAAGTTCATTATCTTCTCATTTTTCATTATCTTCCTAATGACTTATGTGGAGTTTTTGTCTAAAATATTTCATAATTTCATAAACTTCTAGAAACTTAAGATTCTCACTGCAAAAAGTAGCAGCTCTAAAACAAAATGGCTGCACTGGGCTAACTGGGAAAAAACCTTTAGTCAAAAATAAAGAGTTCTGAATCAATCTATTCATCCATAAAGTCTGACCATCAAACACACAGTGAAGACAAATCAAACACCAACATTAAGTTTCAGAAAGTTTTTTTTGTTTTGGAAACATTAAAATTTATTGAAAGCTTGGTGATTTTTTAATGAAAATCAGTCAATTTAAATATCCCATATTACTAGCTATTGTACTGATGATCTCAGCTATGACTGATGGTTATTTGGATTACATATATGAACTGACTGCCTCTGACATATACCTGTAACCTTCTGCTTTGTTTTAAACATCTCTTCAGGCACTAAAGTTTCAAGAGCAAGGATCACATGACTGGATTTTTTCTTCAAATGCATCATTCTATACAATTTTCACCAGCAGTCTTAGACTGGTAATTTTGATACTATGCTTAAATTGAGCAGCCTTGGATAAGAACCCTCACTGATTTAAGAATAAGCTGTATAATGACCTTTGCCAGAAGTTCATACAGGGCTTCCCAACTACATATACACAATAAATTAAAAAGTCTAAACAGACTGCTGATATGCTAAAATTCATTTTAGAAGAGATTAAGATCTTTAGTGGGTCTTGTATTTTGTTCCCCATCCAACACACTGAAACTGAACAGAACATATACTTGACTGAATCTTGCAACCTTCAGTCTAGTAAGCTTCAGAGCTGCTTATTTTCAGGTTACCACATCTATTGGAGACACACAGTTAACTTACTCTCTTAAGAACGATGAATGTAAATACGTTGCAAGAAGTTACCTACTAAGGCACACTTTTGCATGCAACTGCATAGAGGTAGTCTGCTGCATCCAGGCTACAATTCAGGAAGTTGAGAGTAATTCTGCAGGGACACATAAGTCTGAAATTTTAACAGTTGTGAAACGGAGTCTAACCTTTTGGATGTCTCCCCAGCATAACTACAGTGACATGTCTCAATTATATTCAAACTAAAGTGTTTAATTTAAGACTGTATGCATTTATAGATTGACTTCAGCAACTTGATATTGTAATAGTTGTATTTTAGACTAATGTCCTCACTAAGATCATAGATATGCAACTTCTATGCCAAGTTTTGCTTTTATCAAAAGCACTGGTTCACAGCCTCAGGAAAATTATGTATTAAATTCAAGGTAAAAGCTAAATATACTTCATAAATACTGGAATCCTTGCTAACCCACATTCCTGAAAAACAATGCATTATGCTGTATGATTTTAGAGGAACCTATTAGAACTTCAATGTGTGAAGAGAATCTTAAGTAATTGGCACTGCTGTTGAACTGTCTTAAATTACCTCTGGTAGTCCATTTGACGCTACAATACCAACAGAATTCAAGAAAGGAATAAAGCTTGTGAAATACACATTTTTGACCTAAAAAAAAGAAAAAAACATAATATTAGCAATATATGGAGGAGGTCATGCATACACTGTTTTCACATCTTTAACAAGAAACTAAATGAGACACTTCTGTAATGCACTGTGTTTTGTTTTCAATAAAGCAAAAATAAAATTGCCTTCATGGCCAAAAATGTAGTGGTATGTAAGCATGCAGCACATAATCCACTGCTGGAACATTAAATGACTCAACTGGGAAAGAACTGCACTGCTCCCAGACCCCTTGTATTTCTACTTCCATCATCTCCTTTAATATTCCAAAAAAACTTAGTCCATTTTACACAGGAATGGATTTATTCATGAAGGAAAAGGGAAATGGGGTCTTTAAGATCCCATGCAGAAGAAATACAGTACTTGTGTACATGTTCTCACTGTGGGATGCAGCTGTGAAACCCCATCAGAACAGCCTTGCATCCACACACTACATGCTGCAATCAGCATCTAACTTTGTACTGCATTCTTCACAGTTCAGTTTCTCCAGCAAAGTTACCACCCATACCAAAGGGCTTCAAGGTTTTTTTTCAACTACCTACTAGAGAAACTATAGACTGGTAGAATACCTTCATTACTGAACTTGAGGGAATTGTTAAGCAAGCACAACTATTGAGAATTAAAAGACCATTTAAATAAATGCATATTCCAGAGGGGTTCAGCATCAAAATCTCACAGACTTTAAAACACAGTCATTACCTCATCTAAATTACAATCATGCTCTTTACAAAGGACTTCAATAACTTTTGTATCGGTATCAATTTGCTTTGAAGTACGTGTACTCCTGTTCTGACCTCTTCTTGGAGTTCGAGCTGGTGCATTAACAGTCACTGCATTCACAGCAGACTCTGGAAAGAGAACCACCACAAGGTTAGAGTCTGCTTAAAAAAGAAGATATTTAAATTTTTAAACCTAAAGAGATTTTAATTTTTATATGATTTTTCAGGTCCTCCTCTTAAATACTTCCCTTTTCCTCTGTTTATTATAGCTTGAGTGAAAAACGATCATTATAGGAAACAAATATGATAACTAATTTTTAAAGTCCTGTATCAGTATTTGGACATTTTGCTTTTTAAAAGCTATTCAACACAGAATGTAACAGCACTTCCTGCAAGTAGCTTTGAAAAAGCATCTGTTTTGCAAACCTGGGAAAGTCTTATCTTTTCACAGTTGAATAGCTATTTTTTCTATTTTTACAGAAATGTGAAACAAGGAGCTGAAAGAGTAACTTCACTTTACGTGTCTGAAAGTTAATGAAGTCACACAAGGCTTAAGTGCTGGTGGAAACTTGGAATATGGTTCTGTAGCAAATTCCTCCTTTCTCCAAATACTTTCAAGGCAAACAAGTATGAAAAAAACCCCTAGTTCACCTCGAAGATGATATCAAAAAAGCCTTAATTCAGTGAGTTAAAAATGTTTCATTTTGTTAAGCCTAGATGGTCTCAATACTGTCACCTTGAAATAAGTGAATTATATTAATAATATACACTAATACCATTAAATATTTGTTTAAATCTGACACTCTAATAGGCATGCTGTTCTTATTCATAACTTCATTTGTATTTGATAACTGTTCTGAGAAAATCTGATAAACTACATTGCTCGAGTGGTTGCATCTTAATCCCTTCAGCCTTAGATCATAAAGCTTGACATCATTTAGCACAACATGAAGACTCTTGGTCACGAGGATTTGAACACTATATTGTGTTATTTGCTAAAACAATGAAGTGCTCTGAAACAGTTTACACAGCACCTACATGTATCACACAGCTTCGAATTAGAAATCTAATGCTTTACACTTAATGACAGTGTACACATTTACAATAGTCTGAAGTTGCAGTGTTTCTTTTCAAGATAAAATGTACCGAAACAAACTGTTTCTAATAATTAATTTCTAGACTTCATAGTTTCACTAAAAAAAAAAGTAAATCAGTAAACAGTTTAAAAACAGGTTGTTTCAATTAAGTGTTCTCTGAAAGAGATGTTCATTTAAGCCCAATATGGCTTTATGACACCTGAAATAAGCAGTAGCATGTCTATCCTACTACAATCAACAAATTTAAATTCAAAATAGTACTGGAGGAAGGCAGAAATTTGCTTGCCACAAGCCCATTCTTTACCACCCTTTATTTGCACTGACATTAAAATAAAAGTAAGTTTTGGTATAAAAACCAGGTTATTTATCCTTACCCACAACAAATAATTACTAGGTCAGATAAATATCTTCCACAACACAGAATTTAAAGAACATAGCAGAGAGTACATCATCTATTCCATCACACTGTAACCCAAGTGGGTATTTAGTTGTGAAACAAAGAAACAAAGCAATAGATTTAGACTATGAATAAACATGTCATATCCAAACCTAGCAGAAAATAAACCTAGTTAGTATTAAAAAATTGCTTTCTACATACTGTGGCTCCAAATACTTCATTAAAAAAAGAAAAATTAAGCAACAGTTCTCAGTCATCATGTACCCAGAACGCAAATTATTTTGCCAAAGTAAAACTGCTGTTTTAACAAGCCCCAGAACAATTTGGGGGGCAGAGAAGATAGCAAACAGATGGCAGGAATAGAAAAAGATTGCTGTTAAATACACAGCCACATTCAGATAATTCAAGTTGACTATCATCTAAATAGAACTAAAATATGAAAAAATACATTTTAATGAGTTTAAAATGTTGTACTATGTTAGTTATTAATGTTAGCATGACTAATAGAAATTTAGCAAATTTATTTTCTACTTTAGTGAACAAAAAACTAAAATCCTTACTGTATGGTTCCTTGAGCATAGCAGGAGGTGACAGTTTGATAAAATAATCTAAGACACACAGCAACAACTGGAAAGAAATCACCAGGTCATCTTCCACTTGCAACACTTTACCTGCAAATGTTTAAAAAGGTAAAGAAACTGTGATATGTTTGCCAATTTTAGAAGTAATTTTGAAAAAAAAAAAAAATATAGATTTGGAAGTTCATGTAATAAAAACACTACAATCAAAATTCAGAAAACACCACACAGGATGCCAGTGTTTTTTAAAGCTACTAATTTTAAAACTCATCGTTCTTAAGATGTTTGTTGTTTTAGAGTTCGCATACATTATTTATATGTGCACAATTCGCTGTGCACAAAATTGCTACCTCTCAGTGCACTTTCCTGATTTCTTTTTCATTTCATATAGTGGAGTAACTGTGTAGACTATTTTACCCACACATACCTCTTATTTCTGTACAATTCTTCCTCACTTTCTTTTTGTGGTCTTATGCAAGCTTTATGAAAGCTGCTAAATATTCAGAAAGCAGGAGTTGCTAGTATATAGTGGAGAGAAATTCAAAGTGTGCTATCACACTATGCTTATAGCCTGTTAAATTTATATAAAATGACTTAAAAGTCACACAAGCATTAACACTTAAGAGCACCTTTAAAACTACATTATTTGGGCTGTTGCCAAATTATGATTCATGTGCCAGAGAAAACTCTGCAGGATCATTCCAATATAGCATGCATCGCCACAAAAAAAAAGGAAAGCTGATAGCAATTCAGAGCAGTCACAGACCACTATATGTGCTCTATTTATATGTGCATTTTTTGTATTATTTACTATCAGTATTAGCAAGAATCACGCAGGTTCTCCTGTGACTTCAACTACTTGATGTAAATGTTAACTTTCCTTATTCTCAATGAAAAAGCAGGCTAGAAACAATGATAACACAGGCCTGGAATAAGCAGCAATTAAGATACATGGATTCATTCCTTTTTGTAGGAGTAGTAGAATGAGACAGGACTCCATGGCCTACCATAATTGCTTCATCACTCAGCTTTAAGTGAAACTACTGCCTTTTCAAGGAAGAATCGTAGCATTAAAGGACATAATTTCAGGGACTTGTAATAGTATTTTCACAGAATCACAGAATCAGCTAAGTTGGAAAAGACCTTGAAGATCATCCAACCGTTAACCTAACACTGACAGCTCCCAACTACACCATATACCTCAGCGCTATGTTGACCCAACTCTTAAACACCTCCAGGGATGGGGACTCCACCACCTCCCTGGGCAGCCCATTCCAACGCCCAACAACCCCTTCTGGAAAGAAATGCTTCCTGATATCCAGTCTAAACCTTCCCTAGCTCAACTTGAGCCATTCCCTCTTGTCCTATTGCTTATTACTTGGTTAAAGAGACTCATCCCCAGCTCTCTGCAACCTCCTTTCAGGGAGCTGTAGAGGGCGATGAGGTCTCCCCTCAGCCTCCTCTTCTCCAGACTAAACACCCCCAGTTCCCTCAGCTGCTCCCCGTACGACCTGTGCTCCAGACCCTGCACCAGCTCCGTTGCCCTTCTCTGGACACACTCGAGTCATTCAATGTCCTTTTTGTAGTGAGGGGCCCAAAACTGAACACAGGAATCGAGGGGCACCCTCACCAGTGCCAAGGACAGGGGTAAGATCCCTTCCCTGTCCCTGCTGGCCACGCTATTGCTGACACAAGCCAGGATGCCATTGGCCTTCTTGGCCCCCTGGGCACACTGCTGGCTCCTGTTCAGCCGGCTGTCAATCAACACCCCCAGGTCCCTCTCTGACTGGCAGCTCTCCAGCCACTCCTCCCCAAGCCTGTAGCGCTGCTGGGGGTTGTTGTGGCCCAAGGGCAGCCCCCGGCATTTGGCCTTATGGAAACTCCTCCAGTTGGCCTCAGCCCATGGCTCCAGCCTGTCCAGGTCTCTCTGCAGAGCCTCCCTGCCCTCGAGCAGATCAACACTCCCACCCAACTTGGGGTCATCTGCAAACTGACTGAGGGTGCACTCGATCCCCTCATCTAGATCATCAATAAAGATGTTAAACAGGAGTGGCCCCAACACAGAGCCCTGGGGGACACCACTTGTGACCGGCCACCAGCTGGATTTAACTCCGTTCAACACAACTCTCTGGGCCCAGCCATCCAGACAGTTTTTTACCCAGCAAAGCGTGTGCCCATCCAAGCCGCAAGCAGCCAGTTTCACCAGCAGAATGCTGTGGGAAAGTGTCAAAGGCCTTACTAAAGTCAAGGTAGACAACATCCACAGCCTTTCCCTCATCCAGTAAGCAGGTCACTCCGTCATAGGAGATCAGGTTTGTCAAGCAGGACCTGCCTTTCATAAACCCATGCTGACTAGGCCTGAGCATCTGGTGTCCCTCATGTGTTGTGTGATGATACTCAGGATGAGCTGCTCCATCAGCTTCCCAGGTACCAACATCAAACTGACAGGTCTGTAACTTCCCGGGTCATCCTTCCGACCCTTCTTATATATGGTTGTCACATTGGCCAATTTCCAATCTGTCGGGACCTCCCCGGTCAGTCCAGGACTGCTGGTAAATGATGGAAACAGGTTTGGCGAGCACCCTAGCCAGCACCTTTATTTATTTATTTATTTATTTATATATTATGTATATATTTTTTTAAAATCTGCCAGTCTTTTCAGGTAACCATCCATTATTAAAATATTGATAGACTATAAATCACCTCAAAGTAGACTCAAATACAGAATACCAACCTTTAAAGTAAAAAAAAAAAAAAATCTTAAAAAGCTTAATAATACATATATTTATACATAAGAAGTAATACCAGTGAAAAGAATAGCCAAACTGGATAAAAAGAAATATTACTGAGTAGTTACAAAAGCTACGCAATCAAAACATTACAAGTATGCATAGTACAGACCCAAAATAAGGATGCTAGTCTCACAGTGGACATGTAAAACAAACCCATAAACTCACCTCAACAACATTCATTAAAATAACAGTTTTTTAATCAAAACTAACCTTTTGCCAGCAAAAAAGTAATCCAGTAATTTTTCAGGACTAATAGAGAACTGAGTTCAGCAGAAATCCTGTAGACACACAAAAATAAAGACTTTGCATCAACAACTCTCTAGTAATTTAAAGTATAATTTCTGAAAACGTGCTTCAGTCTATGGAATAATTTAAGACAACATGCAACATTTCTCATATAGGTAAGTTTATTAATTATCTCATTCCATTCCCCATGTAATTGTGACTATACATGTGAAAAAATTAAGTCTCTGTAGAGCCATTTAATAATCAGGAAATATCTGTATCATCCTTGGAAAAGAAAGTGAATATAGATAATTCACTTAACTGTTACAAGCTGTTTTCTCGCTTGTGCGTTTGACTAATGCCCTATTCTCCAGTCACAGCATGAACTCAAGCTCATTTGGGAGTTGCTAAGGCATCTTTTCATCCACTCATTTGTTGCTAAGATTAGGAAGCTCACTCTCCAAATGTTCTTTTCCACCATGCCGAGACACCCGCCCCATTGGGTGGCGATCCTTCATGGAGGAAGTGATCAAATATATATCACTTCTGCAGCTCTCATCATCTCACTGAAATTCAAAGTCCCCACTAAATCTAAATTAAACACATGACATACTATGACTTAGGTCAATCTTAATGGGTTAAAATATAAAAAGCTGACACATTTTACATCTTGACAAACACAATTTAGGAAAGTCAAACTTACTCACTACTAGGTTGTTCCAGATAAATAAGTCCACAAGTCCTAGAAAACAAAAACAAATTCTTATTTTTAAACACTTTTCTGAGAGCAAACCATGCAATACCTTTGACTTCAATGTAACAAAAAAATACACCAGTTCACAAAACATTATTCTAACTTTAAAAAAATCTCTGAAAACAGATTAACAGCAGACCAACTACAGCCCTAGCAGAGCTGAAATAATGCTGTTACTTGGATGCTTATGTCAAAGCTGAAACAGTAAAACAATTTTAATTTTGTATAATAAAATTTGTTATTGTTTTCTTCCAGAAAGACAAGATTTGTACGTACATTGTTACTCAGTGGCTTGTAAAACACAGCAATGTGCTACAGCTGCACAGAATACTCTATAAAAGGGCATTTTAAGATTTTTACTATTTCTGCAGTATCACTGCAAGCCTTGTGGTGTAATGTTGCATTCTAATTATTCTAGGTACATGTCATTTCAATAAATAAATTCAGTTTATTACAAAACAGGAAAAAGATCTTTCAAATCCTGTTCGAAAAAAATTGTTACCACAGTTCAAGTTTCAAAAAAGTGAAGACAACTTAGAGGAGGGACTAAAACCAAAACATACCTGCGTAAATCTGCAATGACACTTTTATAGCCCAGAAAACACTTGCAATTAGTAAAATCAAATTATTTACAATCTTCATAGAACTTCATACCTTTAAGGCAACTATAAACATTACAAAAATATTGTGATATACATATTACTCAGGGTAATGGTAAATGGGATTGATTGGACTTTGAAAAAACAAAAGTTATATCACATTTATGCCTTGATTCTATGAAGTACCAAGTGGTGACTTGCTATCCCTTTCAAGGGTCATTTAAGGAATATTTGAGGGCCTTTTGTGGTTTAGGAGGCAAAGTGTTATAGTGACTCAAATTCTCACAGGTGAAAAGTACCACAGCATTCTGAAGCAATGGTATCCAAACAAGACAAGCATCATGGAATGATGCTTTGACATTTAGTAACATGGAAGAGTTTTCTACTGGTATATGCTATAGAGCAGGGGTTCTCAACCTTTCCGTCAACATGGACCTCCTTTAATATCTTTTGTGGCCATGGACCACCAAGACTTAATTCAAGATTTAAAGCGCTAGACTGCATCAGATATTTATTTCTATTTTCTCATGAAGGGTCTTCAGATTTGGAGAGAAGGGGAAATAAGATAATCTGTTAATGCATGCACTTCTATTATAATATCTTCATTGCAATGATTCCCACTTGCTGCGGGCCAGACCAGATGTTTCTGGGCTGGATGTTCCCCACCCCTGCTTTAAACCTTCACGGACCCCCTGTAATAACATTGCAGCCCTCAGGGGTCTGTGGACCACAGGTTGAGAACTACTGCTATAGAGTTTCACAGACTGAATAAAAACTGTCTTAGATGATATCAGATCTTGCCAATATGCATCTGTGCTAGCACATATTAGCTTGTAAGAGGATCTAAAGCCTTTATTACCTCTATCTTCATGTTAAAGCAGAGAGTGCAGTAACTTACCACCCTGGAGTAACAGCAACTCAAAAAAAACATCCATTTGAGAATCTCCTGATTTTCAAGTTACACACAGAAAGCTCTTGGCACTCTACCATAAGTACATTCAATTTATTCTGTACAAAGAGAACACCCCTTGATTTCCATTGTGTGGTCAGCTAAACCACTTGGGAAGGCCCACCTTGATTACAAGTAAGAACTGCTAATAGAGAGCAGCAGCAAGCTAACAGGCTCTGCAACGCCCCTAGACACTGGAATAAACAGCCTTCAAGTTCCAGATCTGGGAGAGAGAAACTATCTTGTGGTTTGGGTTTTTTTTCTTTCCAGAGCTTTTTAAGAAAGAAACTCTTGGATTAGGATTTGGGGAGGGGTGGGCAGGTAGAAACAGAAAGTCTATCAAATAAAAAAAAAAAACAAAAACCCAAAACATAGTAAAACAATCCTCTCCATATCTGTAAAAAGCTTAACGAAGGGAATAGCAACCACTTGTCATGCTACTCTTATTATTGTTTGTACTGCAACAAGGGGATTGTTTAACAAAGCATTGTAATAGTTATGGAGTAAAATGTAAGATATGTTTATTCAATGAATGTAAACAGTTCCATTTCACTGTTCTGTAAATATTAGCACACAGTTTAAACAGGCTCTTCTAATATACAGTTTCAAAAATCTAAATACTTAAATGTTGACAGCCAAAAAGAACTCATTAATTTCAAAACAAAAAACATATACTACCTTTCAAACTTGTGGTATAGTGCAAGTAATACATCATATTTCTTTTTCAGCCTTGATACAGTGCTATCAACTTTAGTGCTTACAGTATCCATGTTAACATCCACTTCTTTCAGAAACTGAAAAAATGTGCATACACTGAAAAAAAAAATGAAAAAGATGACAGATTATCATAACTCTGAGAATAAATATTCTGAAGTAGCTCTTCAAAAAAACCCAAAAAACAAACCCATCAAAACCTTACTTCACTAGACTCCAGGATATTCTTATTAAAACTAGCAGTAACTAAGAACCTTGCCTTGGGAAAAACTGCTTGTTTACGTCAAGCCCCACCTTTACATTTTCCACAGGTAGAAATACTGTTCAATTAGGCAGAAAAGGCATCTTGAAATATAGGCTCCACTACAGAATTTTCTTGGCTACTACAGGTGTTATCTTTGGAAGTCAGAATTTGCTAAGTAGACACATCTTTCTTGTTTATTCTGACAGTAACACCACGTTTCCAACACAGACATCTCAACTATTCTGTTCTACCTAAAAGTTCTACTTTAGTAATGTTCTTACTACTCTAAAAACATGAACCTTGGTTACATCCATGCTAAAGAGAGACCTAAGAATGAAAACTAAGATGAATGCATTGAATTATATGGAATTTCACGTCTTGCAACATGTATCAGGGGCAAGAACACTGCCACCCTTTGGAAATACTATTACACAGGGGACCTGTCTTCCTTACTCATCCATGTAATATTGTGGCCATTGAGAAATCATCTTGTTAAGTTTATAACCAAAATGAGTAGATTGCTAAAAATTAATAAGGAGGAAGCTATCGAATATATTCAATTATATCAAGTATCATTTGATCCTTTATCAGAATAAAGTATTTAGAGGGTTTTTTTATCATAAACAACAAGCAGAAACAGAAGGAAAATATTGGCCCACTGTTGAACAGGAGAGGTGAATTAGTCACCAAAACCACTGAAAAGGCAGAGGGTCTCAACAATTTCTTCGCCTCTGTCTTTACCAGCACTGTTGGACTCCAGGCCTTGGGCACAAAAATCCAGGCCAATGCAAACACCAACCCACCATGAGGGAAGGTATGCAAACTATTACAGGAGCTTGATCCCTACAAATCTACAGGCCCTGATGTTATCTACCCAAGGGTGTTAATAGAGCTGGCTGATGCCATTGCGAGGTCACTCTCCATAATCTTTGAGAAGTCACGGAGGTCAGTAGACATCGCAGAAGACTGGAAGAAGGATAATGTTACTGCCATCTACAAGAAGGGCTTAAAGGAGGATCCAGGAAGTCGCAGGCCCATCAGTCTTACTTCAGTCCCTGGTAAAGAACAAATCCTCCTGGGGCTATCACAAGGCAAATGAAGCACGTGACTGGGAAGAGCCCACACAGATTCACTAAGGGCAAATGGTGCTTGACAAACCTGATTGCCCTCTATGACAAAGTAACCTGCTTGGTTGATGTGGGGCCAGCAGTAGACATGGTCTACCTGGATCTCTCCAAGACTTTTGACAGGGGTCCCCACAGCCTCCTCCTAGAGAAACTGATGCGCTATAGTCTAGACAATGGTCTGTGCTGGGGATGGGAAACTGGCTGACAGGCCAGCGGGTGGTGGTAAATTGCTCTTTGTCAAACTGGCAACCTGTCACAAGTGGGGTCCCCCAGGGATTGATATTGGGCCCAATACTGTTTAGTATCTTTATAAGTGATCTGGATGATCGGATCAACCCTGATGACACCAAACTGAGTGGGGAAGTGGGCACTTCAGAAGTGAGAGCCACACTGCAGAAAGACTTGGATAGGCTGGGTGAACTAACAAGAAGTTTATGAACTTCAACAAGGACAAGTAGAAGCTCTTGCACCTGGGAAAATATAACCTAGGAGTGCAGCACAGGCTAGGATCTACATGGCTGGGGAGCAGCTCTGTTGAAAAGGACCTGAGGGTTCTGGTGGACAACCACCTCAACATGAGTGACAGTGTGCTGCTGTGGCAAAGAAAGGCAACAGGATGTTGAGTTGCATCAACAAGGGCATCACCAGCAGAGATAAACAAGTCATTATATCCCACTCAGCACTTGTCAAGCCACACATGGGATTCTGTGTTCAGTTTTGGTCCCCACTGTACAAAAACGATGTAGACAAGCTGGAGAGGGTCCAGAGAAGAGCCACAAATATGATCAAGGGACTGGGAAGTCTGCCATACGAGGAAAGCCTAAGGGAATGGGGTTTGTTCAGTCTTGAGAAAAGAAGGCTTAAAGGAGACCTTATCACTATGTTCCAGTATTTAAAGGGTGGTTACAAAGATGGGAGACACCCTTTTTACAAAGAGTCACATGGAAAAGACAAGTGGTAATGGGTACAAGTTACTAATGGGGAGATTCCAACTGGATACAAGAGAAAAATTTTTCGTAAGTGAGCACAATCAACCATTGGAATAATCTCCCCAGCAAAGTGGTGGATTCTCCAACACTGACACTTTTAAGATTCAGCTGGACAGGGTGCTGGGCCATCTTGTCTAGACTGTACTTTTGCCAAGAAAGTTTGGACCAGCCAATCCTTGAGGTCCCTTCCAACTTGGTATTCTATGATTCTTTGCCAGATTAAAAAACAGAATATAAAGCCAATCAGAAGTTTATTTAGGAATTTTTTTACCACGGAATAAAAACTTTTTCCAGTGTATCTGTGTGGCTCTCAATGATGAATGGTAGAAATCTCTGCCAGTTTGACCTTATAGTTGACAAAAAGCCCAGGGCTAACAAGCAATTCAGTATTGCTAAAAATCAAAATCAGCAGAGAAACAGCTTACTCTTTGAAACCCTAAGGGAAAAAAGTCTCTTTCAGTTTGCAGTACAAGCTGATTTGTACTCGGGTGGAACATGCTGAACGTCGCTTCACAAATGCAATTAGATTTCAACCACACGGTTCCAAGTTAGTCAAGACTGAAGAGATTAAGTCGAAATATAGGACCTGACTGCTGCTCTAGGAGATGATGCAAGGTAGAAGAGGCATGGAGAAGTCTAGTCATAATAGATGACTTCCAGGAAAAAGATATTCTGGCCCAAGTCCAGGGCTACAGCTGTGACGTGCCCAGCATTCTGCCTTAGCCTCTTGCCCTAAAGTATTGAAAGGCTCTGCTCCTGCACATGCTTTCGACTCACAGCACAGCTATTAGGCAGACAGCACTGGAATTTTTTATTTGGATGAATCTAACACAAGGTATGCCTACTGCTGTTGCCACCTAAATTTACCTTAAAAGTACATACTCTCCTATTATCTTCATCTCTGCATTATGAACTTTATGAATATACAATATAACAGTAACAATCCCCTAGCAAAAAGCATGTACAAAAGTACAAAATTTAGACTGGCATTAAAATGTTTGAAAAAGAGCAACATGGTGGTGAACTATCTGAAGAGCATTATTTTTTTTCCACTTCTTGATTTATCCTAAGCCTAACGGTGGAAAAAAGGTTTTCAACAAGAATCCTGATACAGTGAAACAACAGAAAATATTTTAAGTATAATTTACACCAAGTTAAATTGATGAAGGTTGAGCAAGAACAAGAATGAGCTGTGTGATACGAAGCAAATCATAGCTGAATCAAACAAGTATCATTGTTCCCTCAACTCAAATATGATAGCAAGACTAATTTACCAAAATATTCCAAATTCCCATAAGTAAACTTCACTATAAAAATCTATTAGCCTGATATGCACAAAAATTCACAATGCTTTAAAAACATTCTCTTAATATGTTGATTAGTTAACTCTTGAAATCTAAATTCACATACCTTATGCTTATACTTTTCAGAAGTTCTGTGAAAGTGAATGTCATTTCATCCAGATCAATTGCTACAATAAAGATACAGACTCCCCATGTTTCCTTTTTCTTTTTATTATAAGCCTTTTAGAAAAAGAAAAAAGTTTATTTTTATTATGCAGTAAAAGTGGGTAATATATGGAAAGCATTAGTTTGTCCAAACTAGATTAGAAATGGTAAAACAAAACACCCTCAAACACATGACTAAGATAGCCAATCATTTGATCACAAGTTTTTACATTACTGATGAAAGACAAAGCACTTCAACTCTAATTCCTAGAACACAAGATCAATTTTACCCATACAATTCAACAAAGCTTTGAAATAGAAGCTTTGGTTCCACAGAATGTTTATGCAAAGCAGAAGCCATTATTTTTTTCTTTTAAAGTTATTATATTTGACCGTAACAAGACATTGGAGGTTAAGGAATCAGGAGAAAAGCCATGAGAAAGAAATAAAAAAAATCATTGCAAGGACAGACAATAAATACTCATAAGCTTTACTCTCCAGCTAGGTCTCAACCACAACCCCATCTCCTTGTTTAGTAAATCATTACAGTAACAAGCACCTTCAGGCTTTTTCCTAGCATACATCTACACTTAAGGTCCGTCTTCTGCTGCTTCAAATAAGGTACAAGCTGTAACTGATCATCATTCACCAAAGAAAAGCCACCCCACAATGACAGACATGACATCCACATGGAGTTTGCTCTTGACAGTTCACAAGCTAATCACTTGGGGCTGGCTAGGCACCAGTTATGATTACAGTGCCCTTCCACCAAACCAGCACCTCAATGGAAAACCTCTGAAACCTATGTTTCGTAGAAGCATGAAAGAAAACACTTACTTAAGCAGGTATACTGCAGGTTTTGAAACAAAACTATTTTGAAGACAGAACTAGGTGTGGGTGCAGCCCTGCAAGACTCCTAAAACAGCAAACTCTTAAAATACTCTTTGGATATTTCACATCCTTGTAAATAACTCTCCAATGCCACCCAGGCCTACAGCCGCTTCAGCAAAGGAGCAGCATTTGAGCACATCTCAGCAGTTCTAGGTCAGATGTAACATCTGTTAAGAGGACAGAGGTGAAACAGACCCCTGGGAGCAAGCAAGCTGTAATACCAAACTCCTGCTCTTCTATGCTGCTTAGTTTTAGCCAGCTATCTGGCCTACTTTATCCTTTCCCCAATCACTCCACCTAGCTGCCTTGCAAACAAAAATGCAAGCACCAGGGGCCAGTTCACTCTACAAAATACTCCCAAAAGGCAAGAGGAATAAGACTGCACCAGACCTGACTCCCTCTATCTTATGCAGTCTTCCAAAACAATCCCAAAAGGCTCTGCATCCTCAGCACCTGTTTATATCCTTGCTTATGCTGCAGCGTAACCATGACAAATAGCTTGCCATGTTCATAAATGACACAACAGTTTCACTAACACCACCATATTTTTCTCCTCTTTCTTAGGACCAGTGTTTATACATCCATAAAGACTAGCTGGGTCCTCCTCCAAAGAATATAAAGTTTCAGCGGTTTGTGCAATTGATAAGAGTTACAGTACAGACTTGAATGCTAAAAGTAACCAGCTACCTTCAAAAACATGGTAAACTGTCCATTAAGTTACTACTTTCTTCCTACATTCCTATGAATTGTGACACCTTGTACAACAGAAAATTACTCTAAAATAAGCTATTAAGAGACTGAGATGCATTTGATGATACATAAAGGAATATTATCATCAAATAGTCACTGTCTCTTTAATAGAAACCCTCACTTTTTATATATTTTATGTAACATTGTATACCATCAAAAACCTAAGGATAAGGCAAAAAAAATTACTCTCAAGGAGGTTTTGCACAGAAAAAGGGCTTTGCTAAGAGAAGTGCCCCCACCGTCTCAGCAAATTTCAACAATCCTTTGCTGACAGGTACAACAAGATACTCAGACACATGAGAACAAAAAACATCCTGTACAATGGGGATGTCTGTTTTCCTCCATTAATGCATCTGTGATGAACTGTAAAAAAAATCCTGAAGGTTAAGGCTAGCTAGTACCTACCAAGAAGGATGACTACTCACTTACTGAGGACACCACTGCCACTGGAGTCAGCCAACCTTGTTCAATGAAGAAGTTCCCTTCACGCTCCTGCAAACTCAGACCATGACATCCTTTTGTAAATACAGTATCTTGTAGGGTAGGAGGACTGAGTGCTAGGAAGTGGTGAAATTGTTCCTAGTTTGCTGTCTGTCCAAACAAGCCTAGCTCTCCTAGGTGGCTTAGCTCTACCCTGGGAAGATCAATGCTTGATGGCTACAGCAATGGTTTATTTGGTAAGAGTGAGGTCTGGTTTGCAAGAACAATATTTAAACTCCTTATCCACTATGGTTTCAAGTTGTGCCAGGGAAGGTTTAGACTGGATATTAGGAAGCATTTCTTTAGAGAATGGGTTGTTGGGTGTTGGAATGGGCTGCCCAGGGTAGTGGTGGAGTCCCCATCCCTGGAAGTGTTTAAGAGTCAGGTCGACATAGCGCTGAGGAATATGGCATAGTTGAGAATGATAAGTGTTAGGTTAATGGTTGGACTAGACGATCTTCAAGGTCTTTTCCAGCATACATGATCCTGTGATTCTGTTTGAGGTAATAACTCATTTATTTCTTCCATTAAACAAAACAGCTGCCTCAGAGGCAACCTGTCAATCCACTAGATTCAAACCATTACAGGGAGTCAAACTCTTAATATCAGGACTACCCCCTTATCTACTCTTGGTGTTGCAGGATGCTTGGGGCACCTCCTCCTCAATGAGACAGATGTTGGATGACTGCTGGCCTAACAAAAAACATTACACAAAACCCAGGATAAACTAACAGATTATGATTGTTTTCCAGTAGCTAAGTGAGCAGCTCTTGAATGCGCCAGCCTCTTAACATCAACTGCATAAGGAAAGAGAGGAAAACATGCAAGAACATTGGACTGGGCCTATCGAACCAGCTATTGCTGGTTAAAGCACCCGAACACACAACTGCAGTTTCCTCAGAAAATAAAGACTATTTGCCCACACCCATGCAGGAAAATTTTAGTGATTTTAATACACAAAATATAAACATCATGGGGTAGAAGGGGAGAAGAGACAAAGAGAAGTCTTCCTGGCAAGTTAGTCTCCTGAGTATTCTCCTTCTCATACTCCTTCCCTCCCAAAGCTCACAGACATTTTAAATTTTTCCTATACAAATGAGTTAAAGCTGACTGCAGAACAAAAACGCAGCAGCATTACTCCAACTATTTTACCAGCGTTGTAACTCCAGGGGAGCCAATCCTATGACACAAATTAACGGTTTGTTTACAGCTAAAGCCAGACAATTCATCCCAGATGGACTTGAGGGCATGGGAACGAACATAAGACAAATTCACAGCCAGACATTCATTTCTGAGGGTTTTCTTCTTGACCACAGTCTGACTCAAGATCTTTGTTGATACAGTACCACTGCAGAAAACAGTCTGGGCAACTCAACATTTGTCCTTGACTGTCAGTTCTAATAGTATGACTACCAGTGACCTTACTTCATGAAGCCTACCAATCTCTTAACTCAAAGATTATTTAACACCTAGTAGTCTAATGTTGATTTTTCTTTTTAACTTATGATTCTAGGGAACCAATGCTATAACCTTCAGCAATGTAGCTCAGTTCTGTTGAATCAATATTGTTTTCTGTAGGAAAAGGTCTAAAACCCTTACATACTCTTTCAAAATATTTCTTTCTCATTCTGGACTTACTACTATTGAATCTTAGCAGATCATCAGTTTGCCTAAATCTAGTGAAAACACCCTGGAGGAGTCAAGGCTCAAAATGCTCAAACTAAACTACTGTGAAATGGGATTCTCGGCTCTCTTCTTTCCAGATGTTGTTGCAAGGTGTTAAAGGCACTAGCAGAAATAACTTCTGTTCTCTACCTCAAGAGCTTCTCCTGGGCTAAACCAGTCACAAGGAGACAGTCACAGGAAGTCTCAGTTCTAGCTTGCAGTCAGAGATGTTTATTATCCTGCCAAAACTGAGAACAGTTTTGATGACAGCCTACAAACATGATCCAGGAATAGAAACTTCAAACAATACTGTATAAAAGAAGGTCAAGAGAAAGGTACATGAGAAATATGCAAATGCAGATGGGTATTTGAATCAAATGGGATACATGATGTCACACTGGAAATACCAAAGACCTGATTTTTGAAGGGGAATATGTGGAACTTGCTGGCTTACTAAAACCTCAGCCACCACATCCTAATCAATATAGAGAATTACAGATTCACAATAGAAAACTGATCAGAATTAAGACTTGTAGGAAAAATTTCCTAGAAAAAAAATCTGAACATGAATACTATACCCACTGTCTGCATATAAGAAGTTCTGTGTAAAGACAGATTTGCCATTTTTCATCAATAATGTTTTAAATTTTCTATTGAACATTGTCTGGAATGGAAGATTGCTATTAGTTCTCAACAGACTAAATCAAATTCAAACATAATACTAGCTAAAAGTAAATGGAAGTCAACAGAAATTACTGAACTGATGAAAATAGTTGTTCTTATAGGAAGACTTTCCATTACAATTTTCTTGCATGTAGCAAGACTGGAAGGGACAGCAGCCTTTCCCCTGGATGGGCAGATGAAGATTAAAAAAACCCCAACCTGTCTGCCAGCTAGCTATGGTTTTGAAGTGCAAGGGCACAACACATACATGCAGTGCATCTGCTACTGAGATACTGAATATTACCAGCAAGAGCCCATGGTGAAAATTTATGTTTACTCTGGGATTTTCAGTAGCTTTTTGGCTTTGTTTAATAACAGAAAATCCCAAAATATCTGTAATTTTGCTCATCTACACTCAAAGTTTCAGTGGATTCAGGTTCAGTTTAGCTTCACTTCTATAAATAAGAGACAAAGCTCTAAACAGAAAGACTTTATTAGCTCATATATTTTTCATGCTTTTGCCAAAAGCAAGAAGCCTCTGAGTGCCTTTTAACATAAGGATGATGGGGTTTACCAACTACATTGGGGGTTTTTTTCATAAGAAACTACAACCAAAAGGAACTGAT